TGCTCAGCTACTTTGGCTGTAAATTTTAAATTATCTTTGAATTCCCAAGAATTCTTACTTTAGTAGATAACACTGACAATAATTTGAATATTTTTTTCCCTCTTGCCATTGTTTATGCATAAAATGTTATGTATTTGGCCCTCCATTCATGTATTCGGCGCTCCATTCTTACTTTAATGTACAATATTGCCATCCATAATAAATTTGTTTGAAACCCCTAACAAAGAAACCCTGCAGTAAGCTTAATATCTGGCATTTGTAGCACTTTTATTTGTACTGTCACTTTCTAGGATTTTTTAATATTATATTTACATATTCATTTTATTTTAACAATTATGTATGTGAGGTGTAAAAATTAAATATATATTTTTTGACAAACTTTATTTAAATCAAAGATTTGTGGAGAATCAGAAGAATTAGAAAAGATTATCATGAAAAGGTACATGCATGCGTTCCCTTCAATTAATGCATTCCTTGTATAACACAACAAAATTGGTTTTGTACATTGCCTTGGTTGATAAGAAGACAAAACAGACATAGAAATAATTCTCTCCTCAGGGCTACACACTCAGTCAAGCCTATTGTTATGAGGTAGAATTTACAACCCATCAAAACAATTTTAGTTGTGTGCGCAAGTGAGAGAAAAATGATAATAATGTCCCAAAGTTTGTTCTAGAACAGAAGGTTTCAGACGAAGAGAGAAAAATAAAGAGGAAAGCAATGGTAGAGAGTTTACAGAAGGAAAGTGGAGGGAAAAAAATATATATATTTTTAATAGATTTCCCTTTCGCAAACAAGAATATCCACAAAATCAGATCCAACATCCACTCTCCTAAAACATGATTCCAGGAGACACCTTCTGGCATTTGCAGTTTGTAAGTACTCTTCCATTAGGGAGGATACATAAAACAGCCATGGTTTCCATATTTCTAGGAATTTGGTATGGCTGTGTGGGAGTATGGATGAGGTTTTGTTCCTCCATGAACCAAATTTTCTCAATCCTCTCTACCAAACTCATGGAAGTCAGCACTGCATTCAGCTTTCAGATGGCAGGGATCAGGGATCTCACTGCTTTCAAGAGATGTCTAGTTAGGGACTGTTTAAACTTAGAAATTGGTACCAATTGGTACCAAGAAGCATTCCCAGAGGTCTGTACTCCACCATCTCTTCTGTCACCTGTGTCAGTGCTCTATGTATCTGTTTCCAGAAGCACCCCACAGAACCATACATGCATCATCGTTCCCTTCTCCCTTCCACAGTGCCAGCACCTATCAGAGTGGTCCAGGGACATTTTGTGTGTTAAGTCCAGTGTCAGATAACATCTTGTGAATATTTTAACAGTAGTTTCCTGGAATCTAGAGTTAAGAGAACTCTGGTGTGTCAATCTGTCTATTGATGTTCCGATAGGGATATCCCCAGCCAGGGCTGCCATCTGAAATTTTGGGGCCCCTGACAAAGCATTAGGTCTGGGGTCCCCCCCCCCCACACCCCATGGGCACGCCCACGCCCTACCTAGTCCGCTGACAATGATGCAGGACTGAATGTGGTGTGTATAGTGGAAGTGAATTAGAATGTGTGTAATGCACGTGTTTGTGTGTATTAGATACTGTTTGTGCAGTGAATGCAGAGTGTGTGTTTGTGTAGCGGATGCAGTGTGTATAGTGAACGCAGAGTGTGTTTGAGTAGTGGATGTAGTGTGTGTACAGTGATTTAGTGTGTTTGTGTGTACTAGATGCAATGTGTTTAGTGGGTGCAGTGTCTGTAGTGTGTGTACTAGACGCAGTGTCTCTGTATAGTGAATGCAGAGTGTTTCAATGTGTGGTGGATGTAGTGTGTATAGTTAATGTGTACTGTGAATACAGGATGTTTGTGTAGTGGATGCTGTGTGTATAGTTAATGCAGAGTGTATGTTAGTGTAGTGAATGCACAGTGTGTGTTAGTGTGTATTGAATGTAGTGTGTGTGTGTTAGTGCAGTGAATGCAGAGTATGTTAGTGTGTAGTGAATGCAGTGTGTGTTAATGTGTAGTGAATGCAGAGTGTTAAAGGACCACTATAGTGCCAGGAAAACATACTCGTTTTCCTGGCACTATAGTGCCCTGAGGGTGCCTACACCCTCAGGGACCCCCTCCCGCCCGGCTCTGGGGAGAGGAAAGGGGTTAAAACGTACCTTTTTCCAGCACCGGGCGGGGAGCTCTCCTCCTCCGATCCTCCTCTTCTCCTCCCATTCGACTGAATGCGCACGTGCGGCAAGAGCTGCACGCGCATTCAGCCGGTCTCATAGGAAAGCATTTACAATGCTTTCCTATGGACGTTTGCGTGCTCTCACTGTGATTTTCACAGTGAGAATCACGCAAGCGCCTCTAGCGGCTGTCAATGAGACAGCCACTAGAGGAATTGGAAGAAGGATTAACCCATTTACAAACATAGCAGTTTCTCTGTAGTGTATGCAGAGTGTGTGTCAGGATAGTGTATGCAGTGTCCAGGCCCGGACTGGCCATCGGGCATACCGGGCAAATGCCCGGTGGGCCGCGATGGCCGTGGGGCCGAGGCCGGCAGGGAGATCACAGGATCTCCCCGGCCGGCCCCTGCAGGGCCAGCGCTATGCGAGCGCCGGCCCCGCTGTGTGCCTCCGTGCGCCGGTGGGGAGATCTGTGATCTCCCTCACCGGCCCACAGGCACTGTTACAGGCGGCCGCAGGCTGGGTGAGGGAGGGAGGGAGGCAGAAGAGAGGACCCGGCGGAGCTCTTACAAGCAGCTCCGCCCGGTCCTCTCGCGGGATTCTGAGCGTTGCCGCGGTTACCGCGGCAATGCTCAGATCTCGCGAGAGTGAACTCTAACCCGCAGGTTAGAGTTCACTCTCACCACTGGACCACCAGGGAAGGCAGCATGGTCCCCCTCCTCCATGGATATCCGGCTCCCCACACCCACGCAGAATGGATCTCCCCCCCTCCCAGGCTAAAGGTAAGAAGGGAGGGACATAACTTTTTTTTATTTATTTTTTTTTATTATTAATTATTAATTATAATAATATTATAATTATTAATAAAATAAAAAAAATAATAATTTCCCTAACAGCCCCCACAGACACACACAGCACCCCCCAGACACACACAGCACCCCTCAGACACACACATCACCCCTCAGACACACACATCACCCCCCAGACACACACAGCGCACCCCCAGACAGACAGCACCCTCACTCCCACACATATACAGCACATATATATTATATAAAATAACCCTCAGTGAGTTAACAGACAAATAAAATTAGAAACCCAGAATGTGACGGCAGATAAAAACACCCTTGCACACAGCACCCCTCTTACACAAACACGCTGCGCACCTCACACATACAATACGTCCAAATATATTTTTTATATATATATATATATATACACACACACAAAAATCAAAACTGGGGATGCACTCACAGGACTTGCTTAAAGTGAAAAAAAGGGACTTTTAATTATTCCATGTGAAATGTACAGAAAAATCAATTTTCCATTCACATGGAATAATTAAAAGTCCCTTTTTTTCCACTTTAACCAAGTCCTGTGAGTGCATCCTCAGTTTTGATTTTTGTATATTTCTGACGTTTGGGATATAGCACCCAGGCTATTAGTTCTTTCTTATTACTTAAAGGAGAGTGCCAAGCATCCTGTTTTTTTGATATATATATATATATATATATATATATATATATATACACACACACACACACTACAGCACCCCTCACACTGCACCACTTCACACATTACGCTCCAGATACACGCTAGATCCCTTACCCTATATGCACTCTTAATCCTCTACACACAATCTTCTATACACACTCTGGGTCCCTTACACACTAGATCTCTTACACACACACACACTGCACCACCTACACACACTACATTCCTTGTAAGCAAACACATACAACATTTTCTAAACACACCCTCTCTACAACCCCTACACACACTACGTCACCTATACACACACTACTGCCCGTATGCACACACTCGCTACATGCCCTATAACACTATGCCCCTATACACGCACTCTCTACAGCCCCTAGCCACACATATTACACCACAAAATTGACCTATTTACACAATACCACACCACACTCTACAAACAGGCAATCCCACAAGCATGCGCCAAACACATGCACCATACACTTTCCTGGCCCTTTTGTCCTCTGGTATCCCACTTGTGGAGACACTAGAGACAATTTAAAAGCAAACACAGCGCAAGCATGTTATTACATTTGCTTGCGCTGCGCAGAACAAATACAGGGCCTTTTTCTAATGCTAGAGCTCTTCAGCGGGGCTCTGCGCATTGAACCAACATGCTCACTTTCTCTGGCCCCACCCACTTTTTGGGGGGCCGCTCTAATTGAAAAATGCCCGGGCCTAATTTTTTTCCCAGTCCGGCCCTGACAAGAGCCAATAGTAATTCAGCACTGTAAACAAAGTAATTATAGACAGCCGGAAGGTCAACAAATAAACAAAGGATAGTCTGCAACTCCAATTTGTGAAAGCCTAAAATAAAGATAAATGTGCCCCCATGCCACCTACTGCACTTGGAGCAGAGAGATGGACAGGTTTATTCACTAAACTCCAAATTTAAGCAAATTAAATTGCATGGCAAAATTCTGTATAAAACACCTGATTTAGAAAATCGATCTAATTGACTTATAGTCACAGCTTTCCTAATGTAGCCTCAATTTTGCTAATCAGTTGCGAACCATATTGTTGATAGCTACTTTCCACAGATATAATACCCAAGGTATTGTCAAGGTCCCAAAATAGATAGGAAGAACATTTTCTGCATTTTAATCTTTTGTAAAAAACTTTTCACACACATGTTAAGGGGCAGAGATGCTGCCTGAGACGGTTACTATGTCATGTGGCACTTGAAATGGAGACAAGGGCAGGTGTAGGTGACTCTGGATTGGTAGGTGAACATGGCACCTGCATGATTAAGGAATATGTCTTATGTGCTACATTAGGTGGGCTGCCTTTGCTTTTTCCCCTGGATAGATTTATTCCTAGATATTCCCCTGATTCCAGGGATACTCCAAGTACAGGTGCATCTCCTAGCCACATAGATATATTCCATGTTAAGAAACTCTTTCCTGTAACATAAATGAGTTGGTCTTAAAACTTTGACTCATCCCACATAGGAACTGCATTGGACAGAACTTTGCTATGTCAGAGATGAAGGTTGTGCTGGCTCTTACTCTACTCCGTTTCAAAGTGAGCATCGATGAAACGAAGGCAGTACGAAGGAAGCCGGAGTTAATCTTACGTGCAGAGAATGGACTGTGGCTGCAGGTTGAGGAACTGAAACCATAAAACTGTTTTAACAGAGGAATCAGTGGATACACTTGATAAACTTATCTTGTGTGGCGTTAAACATTAATTTAATGCAATTTTAGCTTATGTGTTTGTAGGGAAGGCTTATCATACTTTTAGATTATTATAAAATTGCTAAACTTACTATCTGTTTTCACAATTAGAATTTGTTTGTTTGTTTTTTGTCACACAGACATTTCTTTTAATATATCTCTTAAATGTGTGATATGCATCAATTTTAAAGATATCTTGTTTACTTAAATATAATTAAATAATTCAAAATAAATATTCATCTCAAACAATATACACAAATTTGACAGTACAGTACAAAGCCATAATAGCTACAATTTATTTCACAGAAAGAATAACTATAATAAAAAAAGAGAACAAAGCAATGTGTTTATAAAATGTATACCACAAGCCCCATAACCACTACAATGGTACTTTTGCTAATGGTTTGACTTCTTACCTGGTGTCCCCACGGAGCTTCCATTAGTTCTCCTGAGCTAAATCTTGCCAGGCATGGCCAACTTATTGAGCATGTCAGTGGACCCCTCTTAATCAATGAGCAAATCCCTGCACCGCTAAGGTTTAGTTGAGAACAGAGAACCTACGGCTTTTACAAAGGAGGTGGCTGGTGCATGGCTTTGCACAGATTAGAAATCAAACCCTTAGCAAACAGTTGGACTATTTACATAAGGGGGCACCAGGGAACTCGAGGCACTATAAATACTATAGTACCAGCAGTGGTTATGATGCTTGCAGTGTTCCTTCAAAACATCATAATACAATCATGGTTATTCTACATTTTTAATATGTAACAAGCCAAACCGGGTATCGTTGTATTGTGGAGAATCCCAAATGGTGCTCTATTAAAAAATTATAATAATGTTTGTTTTGTTTTATTATGCATGTAGATTGCGGTATCCACCAGCCAAAGGGGACTTGTCCTCAAGGTGGTCCAATCTTGAATAGACCTCCATGTTCAACAAAAGAATAATTAAAATATGATTTCCCACTATAAAAAATGTACTGTTGCCAATCAGTTAAAAAATATATATGTTTCCTTTATTTCAATCCACTAAAATATACATTATTCACACAAAAGCAAACAGTAAATGGCTTAAATGTCTAATTTATATGGTGGCGGCAATCAAAGAAAAATTTACTTTCTTAAGATCACCAAAGTTTGATTGTGGCAGGATTTTATGGCTGTTAGAGGTGCAATCACTGGATAACCCAGTTGGGATCGCCGGGGGGTAGAACAGGTAAGCTCAACTATGGCAACTCACTAGGACCCAGCAAGGTCAAAATGAACCAAATTAACCCTCGCACTGTCATATACCCCTGCCAATTAATTACCACACCGAATATTGTGTTGCATTATTTGAAAAGGTTCCCAATAGTAGTAGTTTGGGAGGGGTTTATGGACCTATATAAAGGACTCCCCACTTTCCTACCCTACCATAATTGGTCTGGCAATCTGTATGATGCTACTTCTGGTGCATTCAGAATGCCAATCTCGCTACTTACCCGTCCCTGGAACGCTTCTGTCTCCTGCTCTACGATGTCCAGATTCTGCTCGGCGTTGCTGGTACATCCTGGCTGGATTCCCTTCAGCATAGGCTCCGTTGCCACAGTCAAGTCCTCCGACGGTCACCCGTACAGCCTGCTCACACAGAAGCTCCTGCTGACCTCCGACCCTGTGGACATGCAGACGAGCCGGCATCAGACGTGGAGGGGAATATAATATACTTTACTTCTTCAGAATATAATATACTTTACTTCTTCAGAGCCCCTTCAGAGCCCTCTTAAGGGCCTCTGAAGAAGTGATGCTGTCATTGCAAAACACGTAAGGAAGTGCATTACTGAATATGTCTTTCTAGCTCATTAGAGCATCTAATACTCCTTAATTTCATATCAACACCTATTTGCACATAGACACCAATACCCAACAATCTCAGCCCCACCAGTGTCAAAATCCCTTTTGAAATTAAATTCAAATTAAATGTTAATTTGAACAACTATTCTAGGAACACACAAACCCCATGACATAATTTTTAAAATTTTGCAATTTTCACAGTTTTTGAGTGTCACCCCTTGCCTCTTAATCAAGTTGTCTTGCAATTTTTAAAATAGTTAACAGTATTTCAGCTTTGTCACAGAGATTTCAGATTAAACACACCCATTTGTGACATGGATCTTATGATGAAATATAAAGATGGTAACAGCACAAAACTCCCTGGAACGCTTCTGTCTCCTGCTCTATGATGTCTATATTCTGCTCGGCGTTGCTGGTACATCCCGGCTGGATTCCCTTCAGCATAGGCTCCGTTGCCACAGTCAAGTCCTCCGACGTTCACCCGTACGGCCTGCTCACACAGAAGCTCCTGCTGACCTCCGACCCTGTGGACATGCAGACGAGCCGGCGCCCTCCCTTGGCGACATCACTGATTGATACTTTTAATGTATGCATTTGTGTATATTTAATTGTTCAGTTAATTTCATGGTTTTTCAGACATTCAAATGCAAGCCTCTTTTCGTGGAAAGCTTTCAGACTTACACCTGCATAGATACCAACCCGTTCGGCTCTTTCTATACGAACGGTTGTTTTAGGCTTAGAAGCACGAATGCGGTCGCATGTTCAATTGGTTACATGGGCACGAAGGCTCTATGGCCGTATAGAGCTTTCATGTCCTCAATAATTTTCATTCGCATAGTCTGGGGGGATCGGCAGGAATTTTGTTCATTTATAAACTAATCCACGTGAGGGGTGACAAGCTGAATCTATACAAATACACTACGTTCGCAACTTTGTTCTTACAAATGCTTGTCATAGAAACTCTCTATAGGATGCAAAATCCCTCTGGTTCGCATGTACAGCTAGATAGATCTTTGGGCTTAAGACCCTCTAGGGTTCATTACTGGGTATTACATCTTTTATAAATATGGACTTATTTTAAAAGTTATAAATGTCTAAAAACAGGTCATTTTAATATTTATTTGCAGGTATCAATTTAACAGATTTATTTTTATGACGGTTGGTTCTCCATTATGGATCAGTGAATTTGTTTGTCCTTAATATGATTCTGATGATGCTACAAACTGGTTTTCCTTCAAAGTGGCATTTGGATAGGTTATTTGGTAGATGATACAGGTTTAGGAACACAGTCCATATTTTCATATGCTTTTACAGCACTGTCTATGGACTTTCTTACAACGTCTCATCATATTTTACAGATTGCGAGGTTATTCAATTTGGAGAAGCACTTGCTCTTCAGACCTCGAATCCTATTTCAGTAAGTAGATGGTTTATTTTATTATGAGGTGATTACATTTAGGATCTCCTAAGCTACATGTGTAATAATTGGTATACCCATTTTTGTTATTAATAGGTATAGGTCTCTCCTTCCCCTCTCCACCTCCTTTAGTGGGAATCTCAGACTTTGTGTCGGGTAAGTATAAAAAAAAAATCTATCTTATGCTTTAATAGTGACGAGAGGCCAACACCCCACCACAATGTTCGGTGGCCACAAAACCCCTCACGCCAACGCATAAATAGAGACTCTGAAACTGCTTGGCAACTAGCAGGGCCTCACCTGTCACCAACCTAGTAAATTGTTTCGCCACTTGGCACTAACTAGCCAGCCAGTAAAAAAAAATCCAGTTCTAAGCTACGTTATTGCTATATTTCAGTATATCTCAGATCCCCGAAGATGGTGATGACATGTCAATCCCCACTACTCCTGTCAGGTCCGCTACACCTACACATAAAGGTGTTGCCAGGGTAATTCTCATTCCTGGGCTACCATACGGTCTCAAATGCAACGTAACTAATATGGCAAATTTCAATGTGAAAAAAATGAAATGACTCTCCAAGACACCATAAAACCTGTACATAGGGGGTACTGTTATACTTGGGAGACTTCACTGAACACAAACATAAGTGTTTCAAAACAGTAAAACATATTACAATAATAATATCGTCAGTAAAAGTGCCGTTCGTGTGTGAAAAATGCAAAAAACTTCACTTTTACTAAATATATCCTCGTTGTAATACAATTTATCATTTTGAAACACTCATTTTTGTGTTCAGTGAAGTCTCCCGAGTAAAACAGTACCCCCTCCATGTACAGGTTTTATGGTGTCTTGGAAAGTTACAGAGTTGAATATAGCGCATGCAAATTTAATTCTCTGCACTTGCTGCCTGGGTTGTCAGGCACGTCAATCAAATTTTAATTAATTCAATCACATAATTATGTTAAAATATTACTTAAGCATACACATAGAATTTATATATATATGTATTTAAATTATACCTGTATACTGTGTATACTAAGTAGTTATTTATATAATTATATATATTTATCTATATAGAAATATTTGCAGTTATTTATTTTAAAACATGTTTAATTATTTTTTGTTTTACTTTCCCACCAGCAGGGGGACTGTCTGACATTTCAGACAGTCCCCCTGCTGGCAGATCTACAGCTATAGGGGGCCATGTGATCGCTCTTTGAGCTGTCAGGCAGTCCTCCCGAAGAGGATCGCGGCAGAGGTGAGTACCGCGGACCTCCAGGGGCTGAAAGCCGTTACAGTGTTCTATGCCACCGCAACGGCTTTAAAGCCCATTTAATGCGGGACGGCATAGAACGCCGTAAGGATGTACTTACAGTAATAATAACAAAACACAGTAACTCTTTCTGAGAAATACTCCAAAATAAAAGTCTTAAGTTCTTCTTCATAACCACTCCACTGATCAGGTTGATATTTAATGAACTTAAGACCTAGTTCATGAGGTATAACCGAATACAGGGAACATACATCCATTGATACCCACTCATAATTGTCTTTCCAACGAGTTAAATTAATGTTTTGTATTCCTAAATTAACTATGTAGCCTCAGTACCAGTGCTTGTAAATAGCTAAGCCAAACCAAGAAAGCAACTTAACTGAAAAATGTACTGTGGGATGCCCCCTGGTTTTTTATAAGACTCTGTATCATTAAGTTGTCTGGTAGCATCAAACAAACAAGTAATCACTGGTATTTAGTACCACGACTACCTGTTATTTATCGACTTTTTTATGGTGATATTAACATTCTCCTGTAAAGTTTTTAGGACTAGTTATTCTTGACTACTCTTTTTACATTTGGAAGGACTATAATTTGGTTTCATCATATGGAATAATTCTGCTGTTTCCCTCTCCACAGTTTTCTGAAAGATATCAACACAAACACCTCTTGTCTGTATGTGATAGAAAAAAGACTAACTGCATAAATCGCTATCCTCGTAGAGGGAGCCTCAACTGTAAGCTCCCCTTGTAGAGACCTTCAACACACATACTTCCTTAAATGTAAATTCACCTTTGACATCATAATTGGAAAAGCCTCCTATGACAGGGGAAGACTTATCATTACCCTCTATTTCTCCATTACTTAGCCAAAACAAGTTATCTCAGAAAACAATTTAAAGTAAGGTATTAAATAAATTAAACTAAAATTTGGGGAACTGCTCATCATCAAAATTGTTTTTGATTTTGTTTATTGCTTAAATATTCCATTCTTCCATTTGGAGAATCTTCCAGGAGGAGATCCTCCTCTATATATTGCATGAATGTGAGGTATATCTTTGGGCTCAGGTCCTGTGGGGCTTGCTGTACGTTGACATATTTCTTTAGCATGATGATATCCCACCAAAGTTTTAACTTCTGCATCCTTTCAGAAAAATTATTGCACCCTCTTTCATTATGCGAGTCAGCCATAATTCACAGTGGTGGATACAAAATATTTAACAATGTATCAACACATTATACAATTCTAGGCAATTCACTAAATAGTTAATTTAGAAATTCAAAGTAAATTTCAAACGAGACATATCTTATTAAACACAGGTAGGGATAAGTGCTGGTAGAACAACTGACAAAATATAGGAAGCAAACTCTGGATATAGGGGATACCTTTAAACCCTAAAAAATGAACAACATAAGATACACAAAAACAGGTTGCACCAATGGATGGATATAGAAATGAGTAAAGAAATATATATGGAATAAATAATAAAACACATATAAAGTCCAA